TCTATGGCATTGTAAAAGGTTTTGTAGAAGCTTGGCATTCAGCCGAAAGAAACTTATACCTGATTAGTGAACTCTATCTGCAATACACTTCGGAAAAAGCAACGCATTTATCCTTCAACCAACTGAAAATGAATTTTCGAACAAGAGATCATACTCGCATATTAAGAAACTTTCTTCGCCAGACAGGAACTTATTAGGTCTAAGATCAGAAAGTTAAAACTGTGCCTAAACATTTCCATTTCAAATGATTTTTTTAAAAATACCTTTATTATAAGGACCTTCTCTAAGAAGTTTTGTCAAACGAAGGTCACCATCTCTGATGATGAAGTGTCCACAGTAAAATACTGAAGCTCAAAAAAGTACCTATCAAATATGTATAATTTCTTTGGTCATTCAACCAATAATATTTCGTTTTTGACCTTTCAAACTGATTTTTATAACCAGTATCATAAAGAGTTCAGTGGGTTTGAAAATATGTACACGCTTAACAACAGAGCTGTATAGAACTATTTCCTAAGTTATTCACAACCATTCATCGAAAATTGATTTCGAACTAGTGGATTAAAAGTTTTTGAAAAGTGTAGAGGTGGAGTTTATCTCAGGTTAGTACCAGTAAAACAAAAGCTAATGGAAACTAAAAAAAAATATTAAATAGCAATATTTACACGTGAAGATATCAGCTTCTGCACAAACACTTATAGGTTATCCTGCTTTTCTAACACTTCCTCTTCCAGATAAAGCGATATATTAGGTGTGAAAAACCGCTTTAGAGTAGCTTACAATATGAGAATAATAACTACGTATTAAGCAACAAAAAGCCTCTAAAATGTCTCGTATGCCTGCCAGTAGTGTTGATTACTGATTATGCTTTGTGTAGATATGCTTCAGTTACTGACGCCATATATTTAACGATAAGGGGTAGGTAAAGACAACATCCTTTTTTATTTAATTCATAGATCTCGTATGTTCCTCACACGACATTAAAACAATGATTACTAGTGAAATCGTATGATCAAGCAATTAACAAGAGTTGAACAATGTAGACGATGAAAATCGAAGAATATTATAGGCAGCAGTCAATAGCACACTCAGTGTATATGTGTTTCTACACATTTTTTGAATAGAGTTTTAACAGTAGAAATTGATAGTTAGAGATTCTGAGTAGAATAGCTTACAAGTGATAAGGGAGAAGCACAAATGTTAATTCTTCTCCTTTTTATTTATATTTCATTGGCAAAGGACTTTTTAGAGATTTTTTCTTGATAAAAATTCATGGTAAACAAGAATACAGGATTCAGTCATTTTATTACAATCGATCGGATTTCTCACCAAATAGTCTGTGTTTATGTGAAAGTCTGTGATCTTATAAACTTTCATACATTCAATATTCATCCCCAGTTCAACTCTCGTTTCAACCTCCTTGAACTCTGGGTTACCTTATTTTATCACAGAATATGCTGCATCAATTTTTTTCTTTCTATATTGTTTTAATCGTTCAACCATGTCAACCAATCGCAACGGGCTCTCTAGCCTATAACCATAGATCAAATACCTATTCCGGAAATGCTTAGCACAAACTGCAGGTCATTACCGAAGAAAGCTGATTACCTTCAATCACTCTCTTCCACAAATATTTATCGAAATACGGGTGTAATCATGCTACACAAAACATGGCTTCATAACCTGCATAATGATGATTTAGCCTGCTTAAGTAGTTTCGAATTATTTCGACAAGGTTGAAGCTTTTCCAAGAAGAAAAGTGGTGGGGGTGCAGCAACATTTATCAATGCAAACTGGCCTTCCAACTATGTAAGCTTTAGTTTCTCTAACGCGCACACTAAGTGCATTACCAACAAATGTCATCCCAAACATTTGAGTAAATACAAACAAACGTTTATGTCACACATGACTGCAGTTTTTCAGATTCGTCAACTTTTGTTGATGAATTTACTGAGTTTGCTGCTCCGATTCTAGATAACTCCTTGTCTATAGTCTGTGGAGATTTTAACTCATATAACTGCAGTTTTCTAATATCACTGGGTCGTGAAAATCTGGTTAACTTTTCTGCTCGCCTTGACAACACCCTAGACTTAGCATTTACAAATGAGCCTGGCATGTATGGGGGCCGTAAACGCACCCCACTGATAAATTCTGACCACTGTGTTGTACATGTTTTGCTTAAAGTGTAAAGTGAATTACAAAAGGAGGCTTTCGGATACTTTACCAAGAAAGCCCAGTACAGAAGCTATACACCAGAGAATGTGTCACGTTTGAGGAGTATGCTTATAGAAACAGACTAAGATATATTTACTGATGCAGTTCTAGATAAAACTATCACCAATATTAAAAGCTACCTCAGATTCTGTCTCGATATTTACTGTCCTACTGAGACAATTTACATGAGATTCGACAGACTTTACTTTTCTAATCTCAAGAGGCTCCGGATAGAAAAGGAAAGGTTGTATAAGGGGAGAGATCACCCTGGCGTTAAAGGACTTAACTGGCGAATTAAGTCTAAAGTACAACGTCTGGATACTATTTACAGCCAGAAGTTTATATCGCTTAAGAACTCTTCAAATATACGGAAATTATTTAAAAAGCTCACTGGTAGAAAACAGATGAGGAAAGAAGCCTTACCAGATGTCACTGCGTTAAAAAGGTCATTCATTAGTCGGTAAGCTGATTTGATCCTTCCTAAAGCCCAAAGTCAAATGGGCAGCTGCTTTCCTAGTTTTAATATACATGATGTATTTAAATGTCTAAAATTCTTGAATCCATCCCAAAGCTTAGTTCCTGATGGTGTCTCTAAAACATAATACCCGCTGCTTGGAAGGAGATCAAAATTGTACGTGTGCCTAAGTCATCTTCTGGATCAGATGTTAAGTTTCGACCCATCGCTATAACTTCCCCTTTTATGTAGACAATGGAGAAACTACTCCTCCTTGCGATTGAGCTTTCATTGATGGTTTTCAGAGATCCAAAACATTTTGTTCACAAACACAGGAGAAGTAATTTAGATGCTGCCACTGTGTTGCATCATGATATTGTTTCTAGTCTAGACAAAAGTGTTAAGTATGTTCGTTGTGCCTTTTTCGATCACTCATCAGCCCTTGACTCTATTTCTAGACCACTGTTGTTAAATAAGCTTGCCATAGCTCATACTGAGCCATGGGTTACAAAGTGGCTGTATTCTTAGTTTTCTGAAAGGAAACAGTATACTTTCTATAAAGGGAAGCTCTCCACTTCATTGCTTACTGAAGCTGGTGTGCCCCAGGGTGGCTGTACCTTCTCCTTTCCAGTTTTCGTTCTTTTTGCATGACTTACCTTATTCTGTTGAAACTGATTCCATTAAGTATGTTGATGACCTGATGGTGTCTATTGCAGTTAGTTCTCATTTAAATTGCTCTGAATTAAGTGGATTCTTGTCTTTAGTTGACCAATAGTCTCTCAAATGGTCTCAAGTTAAACCCTTCTAAATGTCAGACTGTTAGTTTTAGCCTGAGGCGTAAACAAGACCTGTGTGAGCTGCTTAAGTCTTATGACGTCTGTTGCATTGATGGTATTTCTACAGAAAGTAAATCAAGTGTTAACTATCCTGGATTGAGTTTCACTTCTGATCTCCGTTGGTAGTCTTATGTCTTATTGACTTATAAAAAAATCTTTTGTTTAACGTAGTTCACAAAGAAACTGAGGCTCTCTGGTACTACTCAACTTCTACTTTTACAATTTATTAGTTCCTGTATTTAACCTATTCTTCTTTGTTGTTCCCCATTGACCTTTCCTGGTCTTCTGAAAAAGGACTATGTTATGTGGCGCAGGGTTTTGAAAGCCATCAGCAGAGTGAGTGGTGTGTCTCTGGCCCAAATGATTAACACTGTAATTGATAGACGTTTAAATTCTTTCAAATAACTAGCTACAGTTCTTTTAACTGACACTGAGCATCCGTTTCACCCAAAGCTCTCTACTTGTGTCTCCTTAAAGGAGAACAAGAAGGAACTACATAAGACTGTACGTTCGTATAGCTTAGCATAAGAATTCGACTGCACCCTACCTAGCAAGTATATTATGTGAGGAAAGAAGTGTTAGAACAGAACTCAAATATCAGCTTTGTAACAGTTAATAATCTCATTCCAACAATTTAATTAACAATGTAAAATATTCTCGTTTTTAATATTCCTCACATTAATTGCATTTTTATGATAACACAATTCGAAATATAATAAAGGAGTATAAACATACATATATTCTGTTGTTGTTGCAATATATTATGCTGAGAATTGTACCACAAATTGTACCACAAATAGTTTGGAATAAGAGTGAATTATTATTATTGTTATTATGATTCAAACTTCCAGACTTCTACTAGTACTTTCATATGTCTGTCTTTGTTTAGAAAATATGTTTTCATCGCAACCTTACTTTTGCTATAGAATCGTCAAGAACTAGTCAATGGTAGACATTTTTTTGTTTAAACTTGAAACTTATCTACAGTGTTCACTTATGAAATGCATGCTTTAACGCTGTGTTTTACCATCTTGATTAATGACTTCTTCTGAAATATATTCGTATTTATCTCCAATATTAAGTTACATTATACACAATGGTGTATGGACAGGATTTATTTGAAGGGTTTATCAACTTCTATAAAATATCTTACATCCTACTTTCTTTACTGTAATTGCTTGCTTTACCGTATTATGTTTCGTTTTGATATCTATCTAGTTAACTGATGTGCTATTTTACACTTGCTGATTCGGTTAAATAATCGATAGGAACTAGGAAGGAGAATAGTTTTCAGTTTGAAAATGATAGTTCCAACTGTTCAATCCCTTAAAAATACTTCACCAATACATAGGCAATAATATAAATGCATATGAATATCAGTTAGTGGCTGAATTACATTTTTTTAAAAGTTAAGGCTGAACGAAAGCAAACCTCCCAAAGTAAGTTGATAGATGACCGAGAGATATTTATGTAAAATGAAACAAATCGTAACTTACTGATGGTTAGTGATTTTACGACAATATTCACTATTGAAATGATCGCGCCACATGCATTCTGTACAGCGAAATGAAATAAAAAAGAACAATAAATAAACGGAATCAGTCAATAAAAGAAGGAAATGTATAAAGTGGAATTATAAGTAACAAAAAATTGAGTTGGTAATGGCAATGTTACCATATTTTTTAAAAATAAACATACTTCAGTAATCTGCAACCAATTTTGTTTGAGTAATATCGTTCTGCTTCTTGTGATGAACAGTTAGCAAAGTGATTTTAAACTTGTAACCCAATGAATGGGAGCTGAATTCATCAACCAATGAGTTAGCATAAGAATAAGTGAGTTTATATGCATCTTAAAGTCAGAGCGCCTAAAACAGCATACCATGGATTGACGACTTTCAATTAATTAGTAAGAGAAAGAAACTGAATCACTTATTAGATTATTTTTGGGGCTTTAGCCTCAAACCATACAAATATCAACCTATAGACACTAGTATTTATCAATGGTATGTTAATTTGACAGCCGACCCCACTCAATTAGCAATAACATTATATGGTTGGTTGTCATACAATAGTTTCACGTTTTGCAAGCTGATCAGTCACTATGACGGAAGTCTTAGTTACCATGCGTTTGTCAAAAATAAGTTATTTCAAATCTTTTGTAAGATTTTAGATGGGTGAAAATTCGAGTTCCTTTGTAACTGAAATATTTACATAAGTATTCATAAACTAGTTAATTTTATCAACAAAAAACCTGATCCAAATACTTAGAAACCGTTAGGATAAACAACAATTTGCCTTTTTGTATTCAGTGATTTAAAAAACCAGTCCGAAAGTTAAAGAAGTTAATAAACAAACAAAGTTGTAAATTACAGCTAATTTTGGAATATTATAGTGTACATTATGAATATCAGAACAAAGTTCTGATCAGATACGACTAAACGCTCTTATCACTAACCACTCAAGAGCTTATTTTCGCTAACTAAGCTCAAAGTCAATTGAGACGAGAACTATCTCCACAGCTAGTGTGGTGACGATGAACTAATAATTACGTATGATGCAATCACATGATATCCAGTTAAAAACCTGGTCAATAACTGGTAAGATAGTTGGTTAGTAATCCAGAGACCGTCGGTTCCGATCCTGCAGCGACCCAGATTTTCGCTTGATCTTCAAACATCGCTCCTTGACAACTATTGTGTTTAAAACTAAGCAGATTAGTTGTGGTAGAAATAAATTCGTAAAGTCCTAGTGATATACAGATGTAAACTTCCGTTTTTCAAGAAACTCATCAAAACCTCTACCTGAGAGGGCATATCATCACTTAAGCACTCATAGATGAGCGGTAAATGATAGCAGCATTTTTTGCATATATGCCTGTGAAAATTTAAAATATTCTGTTCTACTTATTTTTTACGCATCGGTAACTTCTCCAGTTTTTATTCCTTGAAGGGACTGAACTATTCTATCTTCTTTACTTTACTGGGATTTTAAAAACGTATTCCCATTATTTCAGCATTATATTACCAGAATATAACCGTAGTCAGTTTCAAATATTTATGAGAAGGTGGCTGAAAAGTGGATACCAACAAAATAAAGTATTTACTAATTACCAGCACAGATATACAAAAAGATGAACAAAGCAACTAATGAAAACAAAAGTAAAGAGAATAAAAAAGCTGGTGACAGAATATTGCGAGTTGAAATAACATGTTTAAATGTTAAGGTGGAATGAAAAATCCCCTGAACAACACTAATGTCATCTATTTTTGCAGTTTATTACATGAGAAGGTTAACGTTAGACCTATTTAAAAATCGATTCAACTAAAGACCAGAGAATTTATAAACTGCTGGCATGTTTTAATCTCTCTGAACTGAGACCACCACTAATCTACTCCAATTTTAACAAACACCCTGTATTAAGGAACATGGTGATAGAGGATTTTGTTTAATTGTGATCCAAAATTTTATTATTAAAATGTATCTTACTTCTAATCCTGGACTACATGCAAACTCATTTATTTATTATAAATAAATTCAAAATAAATGCTTACACACAGTAATCAACGTTTTTTCCAACCTCGATTTCTACCCGTGACCACACAGATAGTTGAAAATTCCAAATATTGGTGTGTTCACGGGCAGTGATTTTGATCGAAATATTACCAAAGCTTAAAAAAATAATTATCGTGTGTATATATTCGTTTTTAAATGCAGTTATCACAAATCAACTCACTAAAACAGTGATAAACTTTTTATTGAAGTAAACATATGAATACCAGGTGTTTATAATACGGTTAAAGTAACTAGTCGTTCGACTTTCTACAAGTTACATTCGCGTACACGTTCACGTTAAAGAAAATAAGCACCAAAATCTTCGTGCTGCTAGCAACCAATATCAACCACATGGTAGATAAAAATTTCGAGTATAAATGATTATACTACTTGTCAGAGATCTTCTAAGACGAGTACATTTTCTAACGATTTTGAGATGATGGAGAATAGCTGTAGCTCAGGGGGGTGATTTTGATGGTCTTGTGTTTTCTGAGCTGGATGTCTGTTGTTTGCTAATTGGCCTAAATACCAAGCTTCTAAAAGTTCTCTGACATTCTAAGTATTTCATCTATTCAGGATTTACACATTTTCCCAGTCGAACTCGATGATTTTCAATATGCAACTCAACATTCAGCAGTTTACATTATATCAGAATTAAGACTAGACAAGATTAGTTACCTTATACGGATGGATTTATATATCAATCGCATTAAGCATCAAATTCCAACTTAAACTATTTCAATTCAGATTGGCAAGCAGAAATATTAGCTATCACAGAAATACATCCGGTAAATAATGGAGAATTGTTTTCAGAAATCTGCGCATTCAACGATTTGGTAATTGGAGGCAGTGTGTTCAGGCACAAAGATATCCACAAAGCGACATGGATTTCACCATTCACCAGATGGACACACTAAAAATCAAATCGACTTTATCTCAATCTCAAGAAAATGGAGACTCAGTCTATATAACACAAGGTCAACAAGAGGAGTAGATGTAGGTTCAGACCACTATCTAGTGCAAGGAACCTTCCAAATCAAGTTAAAAGCCTTCAAGGAAGTTGGTGATAAACCACAGTTCAAGCACAACACTCGGAAACTGAAGGATGAAACTACAAAGGAGATCTTCAAGGCAGCCATCAAGACAAAATAGGAGATATCGAGGAACATCCCTGAAGAAACCTGTGGAGAAGAACACTGGAAGTCTTTGAAGGCTATGTGGAAAGAAACCTGCACAACAGTATTAGGAAGGAAGAAGAAAGAAGACAGGACAAGGAATGAATCTCGACGGACACATGGAAGCTGATAGAGGAGAGGAGGATGGTGAAACAGAACATAAACCAGTGCAAGGATGCTCAACGACAAGAGGAACTGAGCACAATGCATAAAACACTACACTGGACAAAGAAGTGAACAAGAGTGCATGGAAAGACAAAAGACACTTCCACGACACACTGACAATTGAAACAGAACAGGCTGCAGGTAGGAGAGACAGAGACCTGACAACATTGTATCAAATAACCAGGTTACTATCTGGTAGGGAAGAGATCAACACAGATGAAACCAATAAAAGATGAAGAAGGGAATCTGATTACCAAAGAAGAGAAACAAAGGAAACGATGGGCCGACCACTCCAAGAAGCTCTTGAATCGACCACCACCTGCACTTTGTCCAGAAATACCACCTGCAGCCGCTGGATTACAAGTGAACATAAATCCTCCAACAAAAATGGAAGTCGTGAACGCCATAAAGCTACTGAAATGTGGGAAAGCAGCAGGACCAGATGAAGTCCCGCCAGAAGCACTGAGAACAAACGCAGAGACAACAGCGGACATGCTCACACCACACCACTATTGTAGAAGGTGTGGAAGGAAGAGAAGGTACCTGACGGTTGGAAGAAGGGTTACCCTGTCAAACTGCCGAAGAAGGGCGACCTCAGTGTTTGCAAGAACTAGCGCGGAATCACTCTCCTGTCCACCCCAAGTAAAATATTAGGCTGCATCATCCTGGAGAGGCTTAAAGATGCACTGGATTCAAAAATACGACCGGAACAGGCAGGCTTCAGGAAGTATAAATCATGTGCAGACCAAATTGCAACGCTTCGCATCAGCATAGAACAGAGCATAGAATGGCAATCAGCTCTCTACCTCAACTTTATCGACTTTGAGAAGGCCTTTGACAGCGTCGACTGAGAAGTAATTTGGAAACTGCTTCACTACTGCGGAGTACCGCAAACCTTTATCCGCCTCATTCAACAACTATATGAAGATGCCACATGCCAAGTAGTCCACAATGGGAAGCTCAGTGATGCCTTTGAAGTGAAGACAGGAGTGAAACAAGGTTGCCTACTATCCCCCATGATATTCCTGATTGTCGTCGACTGGATCATGCAGCAAACAGTGGGGAGCGAGAAGAGGGGGATACACTGGACGACGGAAAAGAACCTAGAAGACTTGGATTTCGCCGATGACTTATGCCTAATGTCACATAAACTTGAAGATCTACAGGCAAAAACTAACAAGTTGATAGAAGAGGTAGGGCAGTGAAGACGGGACTTCAAGTGAATATAGAGAGGACAGAGGTGATGAAGATACCGCACCACCACCATCAACAACAACAACAAACTCCAATCACCGTCAACGGGAGAAACTTGAAGGAAGTAACCTCCTTCACTTATCTAGGAAGCACTGTTTCAACTACAGGCGGGACGGACGAGGATGTCAAAGTCAGAATCGGAAAGGCAAGACAGGCCTTCATTAGCCTGAAACCAGTGTGGAGATCTACTACACTGCACTCAGCATGCGGAACAAGATACGGATTCTCAACACCAACCCAGTCAAGTCAGTGCTCCTGTATGGTTCAGAGACTTGGCGCGTCACGAAAGGCATTTCCAATAAACTACAGACACTCATCAACAACTGCTTACGCTCGCTACTGAAGATCAGATGGCCAGAAAGAATAAGCAACAAGGAGCTCTGGGAACGAACCAACCAAGAACCTA